GTGAGGGGGAGGGGAGGCGGCGGCGGCGGAGGAAAGGGTCGCCCGCGCGCTTCGCCCCCCCGCCGCCTGGGCCCCACCCCGACCTCCAAGGGGGACGAGCGGAGCGGCATCGGTCCCGAGACCCTCGGCTGGGCGGCTCTCCCGCAAGAGTACCTTCGGAGTCGCTGCCCAGCGGCTCCTGCTTCTGCTGCTGAGGCTCCTCCGCCGCCATCTTTAAACAGCGCCGCACTGCCGACCGCTTCCGGGTTACCAATTGCCCTGCTCCCGGAAGAGAGCCCCTCCTCTTGGCCCCTCCCTGGCAACGCCCCTAGCAACGGGATCCCTGGCGTGGTCGCCGAGGGGCTCGCGGTCCTCCCGCCGCCCGCACCCACGCTCCAGTCCGCGTACGCGCTCGGCTCTTCCCCAGGTTCCCAAAGTTCCTGCTAGTGACAAACGCTGGAGCTTGTTCAGTTTCCTTTTCACTGGAGTTTGAAAAGTGGATTGGGTGATTGAGAGGAGGAAGATCAAGTTAAAATCACCGCCGGCAGCGTTCCTGCTGCGGGTTCCAGAACGCAGGGCCGCTGCGCGGCAGTGAGGGCGCCTGACCCAGGACACCGGGTAGCGGCCAGCATCACAGCGCGGAAATCACCTAGCCAGGGGCAAGGGGCACTACCTGGCCCAGGAGACGGCGGGCACTTTAAGGGGCTTCAGTTCTGAGAAGGCTTCCTTTGGCTTCCTGGCAGGGAGAGCAAATCCAGGTGTGAAAGCTTAAGCCCTAGGGCCTGACTTTAGATCAGTACTGTCCACAGTGAGAGAAAAGTAGGGTCTTAGAACTAGGAGTTGAGGGCCTTCCTGGTGGCATAAGGGGTTTAAGCACAGGACTATGAAGCTATTCACAGCCACTGCAGCAAGTTAGATCCCAGGCCAGGGAGCTGACCCACATGGTGCATCATACCTCTTATGTTTCCCCCACTGACCCCCTCAGCAGTGTATTTCAGTCCATCTGCCTGTTCTGCTCTCCACTCTGTCTCTGGTGAATCCTCTCACCCACTCCCCACCTCTGAACTACACCTGTTCTTGTGTCCATAAGTAAGTAAATCTTAAAAAACAAAAACAAGGTGGGAGGGTGGGGGTTCCGTGCAAATAAGATGGTGTGATTTTTTAAAATTTATTCATACAGAAGTGGGGTACAGGCCAGAGGCACAGGGGTGGTGAGCGTATTCACCAGACATAATGGGGAGCAGAACAGGCAGACTGACAAGGTACCCTGCTGAGGGGACTGGGGGGTGAGAAAGGAGAGGTCTGCCGCGCCATGTAGATCACCCCTGGGGCTGCTGGAGATAGAACTTGCACTGAAGCGGCTGCTGCTCACCTGTAGTACTGCACTACAGTGATTTCATCTTAAAATTTTATTTAAAAAGCAGCAAGGATGCTGAAGATGTTGTTTCTCAGTCTGGGGCTCAGTCCTAGTCCCCAGCTTTTCTCTCCAGAGGGCCTTTCACATGACATCACCGAGGTCTTTTTAGCTCCAGGGGAGGCAGTGCCTGCTCTCAACCTGCCCCCTGGCTTCCTCAAGCACATGAGTAGGTTGTGGCCGAGTTCTGCCCTTAAGCAGGTACAGGTGGTGTCTGGGCTCATCAAACAGGGCCTCACAGCAGCACCACAAATGTCAGAGTTGTTTCCCAGCAACAGAACACAACCCTCTTTATTGGGTCACTGGGCCTGTGGGGTTGTTTCCAAACTCAGGAAAGCAAAGGTCCACCCTATATGGACCCTATGCCTAGCAAGTTGTACATTCCCTTCCCCTCTTTTAACAATGAAATCTGTCAACTGCCAACCAGATCCTTGGCAGGAAGAACGATTATTGGCAAGTGAAGAGCTGAGACAGTTGATGACAATAACATTTTGTTTGGCATTTCAGAATTTTTAAAGATGACGCTTGGGCCACTCCTCCAGTTTCTGTTGCCCCTCCCCTTACGTCAACTAGGAAGCCCAAGAGGGGCTGGAAGGAGCTGGGCTGGGACCAGTGCTCAGGACCTTCTAGAACACAGCTGCCCTGGAGATGAGAAGGAATCCTGTGCTGGCCAGCAGCCAGGAGGCCTACCACAGGAAACGAGGCCCACCCGTGCAAGGGTCTGGGCTCAAAGGGCAGACAGCACCCTCAGTGTACAAAGGGCCTGGAAGGAGGGTCCTCTCTCCTTGCTCAGCCTTGTTCCGACTCACCCTGGCACAGTGTCTGTCGCCTGCTCTTGCCCACGTCCATTTATGCTGTTACCCTCACCCCACCTCTCCTGTTCCTTTGGCCTTTTGGAGTTTTTGATTCCCTATCTTGAGGCATCTAAAAGCCATCCACATTTGCTGAAAGTCAGGGATACAAATGCTGTGCCCTCAAATGCCACCCCAGAACTGGCCCGGCGCTGCAACCCCGCTGCCTGTAGGCAAAAAGGAAAGCTGGCCACACTGCCAGTGCCAAGTCACAATGGGCAGAAGCAGCGGCCAAGGCTCTTTGTCACAGCATGCACACGACCATGCTCTTCGCAGCCAGGTCCACAGATTCTGAGTGCCCATAGCAGGGCTCAGGACTGCAGATACAGGGGCCAGCTGGCTCCCAGATACCACCCACCCATCCTCCTGCACTGCTTGGGTGGGTCCAGCCTAGACACAGCCTAGAGCCTGGGACCGTCGCCTTCTCATGAGAAGGTGGGCCAACGCAGAGGACTCAGACCCTCCAGACAGGCTTGGGAAATCAGACAGCTGCCCGGGTGTGCTGGGTGTTCCTGTGGGGCTGCGGCTGCAGAAATGTCCATAATCCAGCCAGTCCCCACGTTTTTGATCCAGCAAGACCTGGACAGATACTTGCCTGCAGGATTCAGGTCACCTGAGCAGAAAGCAAGGGCCGGCAGTGGCAGCCAAGGCAAAGGACCCCCTCCTATAGGCTTGCTGTTACTCTACCCATGGAGATCTGTCCTCTGCAGACACCTCACATTCTATCCCCACAGCACCACAGAGCCAAGCAGCAACTGCCTTGCTGCTGCTGCAACAGCTTTTAAGCCAGTAAAGCTTTTAAGCTTAAAAGCATGGGTTTCTAATTTCACAGTTCTGAGGCCAGGAGTCAGAGATGGGTTTCCCCGGGATGAAAATTTAGGTGTGTGCAGCCTGCTCACTTCCTCCGCTCTTGAGGGAATCTGCCTCCTACTCACTGAGGGAAGGAGGGCAGAACTCAGGTCCTCGCAGCCCTAGGGCCATGTCCCCAGCTCTTGTGGGCTGTAAACCCAGGCTAATTCCAGCTTCTAGAGGCCACTGTGTTGGCTTGGACCCACTTCCTCTACCCTCGAGGCCGGCAGCAGCAGCCTGTCCTCCCCAGGCAGCATCTCTGAGATGACACCACCCACCTTCCTCTCCAGCAGTGGAAGACCCAGGATGACACTGGGCTCTCCCACCGCAGGGTGCTTAGCGCTAACCACCTCCCGAAGTCCCTTTGCCATGCATGGCACTCCAGGACCAGCAAAGTGGATGTCTTTACGCACCGTCATCCCACCTGCCACGGTACATTCACTTTACAACCAGAACTAGACTAGCCCAAGGTCACAGTGAATGGCCAAGGCAGGCCTGACTCCCAGCCTTCTACTCTGGACCACACAGTACCTGGGGTGTCTGCTTCCCCTGCGCACACTAGTGGCCGAGGAGCCCACGGTTGGCCGGAAACACAGTTCTGGAACACAGGGAAACTTGCTTTTACTACGGGAGATACTTGGCCCCTGACTGGCTTGGGGATGTGGGAGGGGCAGTGAAGGAAGACCAGCCTGCTGGCCTCGCTCAGCGCCACAGGTCACGGGCACACCAGTGCTCTCGTCCACCACCTGCACCTCAGGCTCAGCAGGCTCTGGGCAAAGGGGCCAGGGGAGGGAGGCCTGCCTGGACCGCTGGCTTTCAGTCTGAGCAGCACCTCAAGGAACAGTTTTGGGATGAAGTAACCTTCATGGGCCTGGGGACCATGTGTCCTTTGGGTTACAAGGGTACAGAAACAGGGAGTCCCCCCATCAAACCCTCAATAGGGGTGTGCAACTGCCACAGAAACTCAAAGAAAGTTCTCTCCTGGTGTCACGTCCTTGCAGGGTCCCAAGGCCATGACAGCCCCATGCCCTCATCTATGGCCCCAGAAGCCCCGAGCCAAGCAGCTCTACATCCTCTGCTGGGAAAAGGAGACTTGATCAGAGCAGCTGAGCTGCTCACACTCCAGCTCCCAGGCCCTGGGGCTGAGCACCACCCCATCCCCAGAGCCAGGGAGTCGCCAGGCCAGGAGACAGGCGTGGAACTCACCTCCCTGCAGACTGATGGTAAAGCCTCCTACAGTGAGACTCTGAGGCACCTCCACCCTGTGACGAGGGAGCTGCTGATGACCCTGCAGGAGGCAGGTCGGTGCCCAGGCCCCCTTCTCAAGCCAACCTGAGTCCCATGTGGATGCTCCCTCCCTGAGCCAAGAGGACAAACGGTGTACCTCCCAGCCTTCTGGGCCATCCCTCTAGTCGCAGACACAGGAGTGACATGCAGAAGAATTTTCTAGGAGTCAGGTGACTGACTCAATACCCTTCAGGGAAACAGCCAAGAGCAGGATCTGTGTTGGCATTGGCATCCAGGTGCCAGGCCCACCAGCATCGCCAGCCACCACAAGAAAGGCTAGGAGAGATCAAAGGAGGGCGGGCAGGGACCACATTCTGTCCGTCAACAGAACTCTGGAATCAAGAGCCTGCTGGAGAGGGAGGGGCCAGGGAGATGTGCCCTGACATCAAGCCCCAGCACCACCAGCCCATCACCTGGCACCTCTGCCTGCCACCCCAGCTCCCAGCAGCCTCAGCTCCACAGGGGCACTGAAGCTGTGTCTGTTCCGAAACTACCCACGTCACCCAGCAAAGGGGGTGCAAAGACGAGCTAAAGTCACACACGCCAGGGGTGAAGGCAGCAGGTCTAGGCATTAGTTCCAGACACTGGCACACACACTCCAGCTCAGCACCAAGAGCCTAACATGCACAGTCCCAGTTCAGAAGGTACCCCTAAGGCCTGAGGGCAGGACCCCGGGGATGTGGGCCCCAGGGGAGCAGGCAGTGAGCTGACAGTCAGACCACAAGCACCCACAGGTCAATGCTAAACCCAAGGGCTCTGGAGTTGACATCAAGACACCTGCTACTATAAATGCCCCCTGCAACCAGAAGGGGAAACACGCACCTCAGAAAAGGCCAGAGCCCCCAGGGAGAAAGAGCAGGGACGGCTGGCGGCACACACACAGCCCTGCCCAGCCAAGGGAGTCATGGGGAACAAGCAAGCAAGGCTCCCTCGAGGCAAAAGAGTTGCCTTCCCAATAAGCCAGCAAACATTTAAACACAGGAAAGCCTGCTGAGCAGCACTTCCAGGGAGGACATAAGTGACTGGCCAAGGTGTGGTTATCAGCAGGGGCAGCTTGCCTCAGCCAGGCCCTCTCCTCCACACCCCTGCCCAACACCATCCTCAGCTCAGAATCAAAGGCAGGAGCCCGGCCAGAGGCGCACCGAGTTTCTGAAGCAGGGTTTAAGTATTTTATTGTTACAAGGGGGCCCTACCGAGCAGGGCCTTCTAAACCGATATACGTGGTCCCAGGATGTCACCATGGAGGAATCGATTGGTCATGATCGCGGAAGAGGTGACTGACGGAATGCCATGATCCAGGGAGGCCGGCCAGGAATGCAGCGACATGATTGGAAGAGGCCGGGTGCTCAGGTCACAGGGAGAAGGACAGCCCCTTCACTCGCGTTTCTTGTAGCTCTCCAGGTTTGACAGGACCCAGCCCGACGGCAGGAGGAAACACAGGAAGCAGGAGGTGAGCCCAATGACGAGGTCCTACAAGAGCACAAGAGAGAAGGCACCCCCGAGTAAGGACTCCTCTAGGCTTCCAGAGCCTGAGCAACAGAAAGCCCCTCAGGGCGGAAAAATTCACCCTCACATAGCAGAGCCAAGCCACTGCAGGTCTGGAGGGGAAGAGGCAGGTATGATACATGGGGCAGCCTGGAGGAGCTGGGGAACTCCACCACCAGATGACTTCCACCTGCTTTAAAGATGGCCCACCAGTCGCCAAGGATCTGGCACAGTATCTGCAAGCACAGCTCCCCTTCCGGGCCTTAAACACCCCTCTGTCCCATCTCCTGTCCAGGGCTGCTACTCAACCCTGGGACCCGGGATCAATGACTTTTGACAGGTGCGTCCACGTTCCCTTTAGTTATTAAGGTCACAGCACAACTGCCAGTTCCACGGAGTCCAAATTCCTTCTGCTGAAGGGGTGACTTCCGACAAGTCAGGTCACTGCCTCAGTTTCCCCGTCCTGAAATGGAGATCTTGTCCCTGTCGTGGAGGGATAGCTGGGAGGAACGAGTGGGACCAGCACAGAGGACTCCGAACAGCAGGCACCCAGTGAACGCCGCTGCAAGCATCACCACTGGTGTTTCCTCCACGGCAGCGCTCCCCCGGCCCTGCTCGAACCAAGGCTCACGAACCTGGACTCTGTACGCACGCTCAAGACAGAATCCTGCAACTGAGGCCAAGGTACGAAAGTCCCAATCATGTCCCAGTGTCATGTGGTTAAACACTCCCACATTTCTGAGGATCCCAAAGACCTGTGGGGCGGCTCCACGCCAGTAATTAACAACAGTAAACACCGTTATTTTCTGACTGCCGTCAGGCGCCCCGCATCAAGCGACGAGTCAACGGGCTCCGAGAGCTGAGGAAGTTCGCTCGAAGCTGCAGCGCGAGGAGGCGCTCGGGCTGGGAGTGACGGCGTCTGAGCGAGCACCACCGGCTCCCGGCACCGCGCCCTCCGGACGCGCGAGCCCGCAGGCCGCGCACCTCCCGCGCCCTCCCCGCCCCATTCCTCACCATGGTCCCAAGCTGCACCCGCGGCGGCTTGGAGTGGATCTGGGCGCGAGGCACCAGGAGCCGACGGGCTGGGCCCGTCAGTCCTCTCAGCAGCAGCGGCGTCAGCACCGACATGACCGCAGGGAGCAGAGTGCAAGCAGCTAGCAGCCTGAATCCAAGGTCGGGAAGTCAAAATGGCGACCCAGACCGGAAGTTCCGGAACTAGGGAAGCCGGGAAAGGACAATCCGGAGGCTTTCCGGAAGTGACGTAGGAAACACCTGCAGAGGGTGTCCCCGCGTCTGCTTTTGGCGCGTTCCTCAAAACAGCCAATCGACGCCGTGCTGCCACTGACGGGTGGAGCATAACGGGGCGTTCCTTTCAGCTGTGCCCAGCCTCTAAGCCGAACTATCTTCGTTAGTGCCAGCTAAGGCTACCCGATTACTTAAAGCAGAAACCGAGGCAGCATTCTGGACGCCTCTCTCCACTCACGGTCCCAATTCTCTCCAGAAATTCCCACCGGCTCTCCGCCGGGCCCCTCTTTCATTTGCAAGACACTAGTCTTGCAAAGAACTCGCCTCCCCAGCACCTTTCCAATTGCAGCTTTCATGCAGAGGCGGTCACCCTCCTTCTTTCTTCCGTTGTTTTGGTTTTTTTTTTAAAGGTTTTATTTATTTTCTCAAACAGGACTGAGGTACAGGCCAGAAGTGCAGGGGCAGCGAGAGGATTCACTAGAAATAGAGTGGGGAGTAGAACAGGCAGATCTGAAATACACTGCTGAGGGGAGCAGCGGGCAAGACAGTAGTTCTGCAGCGCCATGTGGGTCACCTCCAGGATGGGGATGGAACTCGCACTGAAGCTGCCATGGCTTGACTTATCTGCAGCGCATGCAGAGCTCCAACCCACCGCACTATCAGGAAGGGACTCTTTTTTTTTAATTCTTAAAAAAGACTTATGCATTACAGAACTGGGGTACAGGCCAGAGGTGCAGGGGCGGTGAGAGGATTCACCAGAGACAGAGCGGGGAGCAGATCGGGCTGACTGATGAAGTACACTGCTGAGGGGAGCAGCGGGCAGGTCAGGAGGAGAGGTCTGCCTAGCCATGTGGGTCACCTCCGGGGCAGGCGGGGATTGTGGATCACCTCCAGGGCAGGCAGGGATTGGACTCATGCTGAAGTGGCTTAAGCTTCTTAGTGCTGTGCTTTAACCTGCTGCATCACCAGGGAGAGTCCTCTTCCTTCCTTTTTAGGCATAAATCAGATGAAGTCATACTTGCTTTAACAATTTCCAGTGCACCCCATTGCTTACCGGTCTGAGTGTCAGCTCCTGGGTGTCACTCTTCAGCCTCATCACTAAGTATTCTATACATTCCATGCCTTCCTCCCCTCTCTTCCCCATCTGAGGGCAGCAGTGGGAGGGACAGGAGAGGTCTGCTCTACCATGTGGGTCACCTCCCCAGCTGGGAATAAAACTCGTGCTGCAGTGGCTGTGGACAGCCTCATTGTGCCACGCTTTAACCCGTTGCACCATAGGAAGGGCCCCGATCTCCATTTTTCTTGACAGTCCCCTACCGGGGACAGAAGTAACCCCTCTTTCAGGAGAGAGACCAGTGTGCAACAGGCCAGCTTTGTCCCTCCAGATCAGGCTAAGCAGCAAAGTGGCCTGGACACCAATGGGCCTGTCCAGCCTGGAGCCATGAGACCCTCAATGTGTGACATGTGCCACTGTCCTGTCTGGGTCACAGCCATGGGCTGAAGATCAAGGTGGGAGTGAGAAGGGGGTCTGCTGGTAGCCAGAGTGTTCAGGATGATGGGGGAAGGTTCTGAGTCAGACAGAAAGCCCTGTTCCTGGCTCACTGTTGAGGCCTAAGCCTCAGGGCACCTATGCTCCCTCCCTATTTCAGGGTTAGGGTCAAAGGCCTCCTCCCTGGAGTTCAAATCTTGACATGCTCACAGACATCAGGTTCACAGGCAAGTTCCTTTCCAATCAGCGTCTCTCAGAGCACATTTCAGAATGACCCTGCCACCTGCAGAATGGGGTCCTATAAGGGCTGATGGAAGTACAAGCACCCCCATGCTGCCCAGCTCACACTGGCAAAGTAGGAACTCAACAAATGCCAGCTTCACAGCCCAGTCTCAGTCAAGTGATGACATGTAGGTGCCAGTCTCATCCTCAAGCCACACAGAAGGGTGTCTGCTGCCCTCAGCCGCATGAAAGCTGACTGACTGCCACAGCCTGGGAGTTGGAACCACCCTTATCCTACTGGGGGGCAGCCCCTGCCCAGTCCTTTCGGGCTCTGCCTGGAAGGGCAGACGCGGCAACTCATGCAGCAAAGGCCACCCAGCGAGGAGGCAGGAGCTTGGGGCCGCCATGGGGGAGGGTGAAAGGGGCTAAGCCAGAGGACAGTTGCGTCTCAGACGTCACTCTCCCGTGCTCGCCCTCTTCCTGGGCACATTGGTGCCCCTGCTGGAAAGGGAGGGACACTCCCAGGAATTTTGACCCGGGCATCAAACAGCCTTGAAGGGACAAGGAACCTGGGGGTGGAGGGAGGGTGGAGCTTTGCCACAGGAGAGCCCACCAGATGTCAGGCCCTGGAATGCCTTACTCCAAGGGCTGGACGCCTCCAAGGCGAGACAGCGCTGTTCTATTCCTGGAGAACCTGGCAGCAGGGGAGTGGGCAGCTATCTGCTAACGGCCCACCCCAGCGGATACCCTGCCCCCAACCGGGATGCCCTCCACCTGTCAGTGACCACAGAAGTGCTCAGAGGCTCAACTTGGGGCCCAGTCCTGCCTCTCCTCCCAGATCTCCTGGGGCAGGTCTGGAGGGCATCAATCAGGCCATCAGTCACACTCTAGGGCCAGAGTCATCCTGCTCCCCAAGCGAGCTGCCTTCTGTGAAGCCTTTATCTTCTGAATGGAGGGAAGGGGGCATTGGAGTCTTTAGAGAAAGAAAACCCTGTACAACCCAGTGAAGTCAAAGGGGGACAGACACCCTGGCCCACTTCACTCCGATAGGACACGTTTTTACATTTGGTCACCAACGTCCAAGGTCACAGTGGCTGGCTTGGAACTTCCTCCCAGCATGCACGTTAGGTGCATTTGGAAGACATGACGCTGTTCCCAGGAACTCGGGAGGGCACGAACGCCTGCACAGGGTTGCGGTTCCCACAGCCAGGTGCTCCCGCCAGACACGGCCGTTTTCTCAGAACTGGGCTCACTTCACAGGATGGGAGTGCAAGGCCTGCCCAGCTGGTGCTGCCCCGTGTTCAGGACCCACACTGGGCCACTCTGAGGGTGGGGGAATCCCTGGAGGCCATGCTGCCATGGTACCCTGGCATCAGGAAGCCAGGCCAGCAGCTGAACAAAGTGTCTTTTATTTGTGACTTACAAATACAACCAATGCAAAAAGAGACCATTTTTCCCTTTGATGCCAGTGATAACGATTAGCTAAAGAAAAAATATATATGCCAAGGAGTTTCCTCTTCAACATTTCCTCTAAGAAAATCATAAATGGTTAAAAGGAGCCTTATACATGTCACATACATGTTCAACATCAACAAAAATAACCTGAAATCAGGTGGATACAACTAAAAAAAAGAAATGCTTAAAAATATCTTAACATGCCCCAAACAACTAACAAGAGCCGGTACAAAAGGCCTGCCGTGTTTCCTGGGGAGCAAAGCCTGCTGCTGAGAGGGAAGTCACCCCACTGCAGGGGCCTGCGGGGCTCGGGCGACCCTCCCTCCATGCCAGCTGACCTCAGGAGCAGCCCTCTGGGAAGCGCCCACCCACCAGTGAGGGGCGGAACAGGGGTCCAGTGACTACAGACGCCATACTCCAAGCTCACCTGACATGGGTTTTTGGATGGGGGTGTGTGTTGGTCCCCCTGAGTGAGGAATACCAGAAATCCATGATCTAAGATAATAAATATTTGCCATTCTGTGTCCTTTGAGACTGGGCTCAGAGGAAAACTTCCCGAACATGCTTCTGTCTTTCCACTGATTCTTGCAAGGCGCCCACCCTGCTGTCGCGGCAGTCTGAAATCCCCCTGGGTAACAGCCCCTGGGAGCCTGTGGGGTCTGGGCAACGGCGGACAGACTCCAGTGTAAAGCTGCAAGGCCCTCTCCAGGGAGCGCCTGTCCAGTGCTGGCGGGATGGAGAGCAAGATAGGGTGAGAGCTGCTGGAGGGCGGGGGACCTCCAGAGGCCCTGCAGCGCAGGAGTGGGTCAAAAGCAAACAGCTCTGGGGGCCCCACCAGCACAGACCCCTGAGTTGGGGCAGAGGGCAGATAGGAGCAGGAGCAGGAGCAGGTCCGACGGGCCCCTCGGAGCTCTGAGAGCAACTGCACAAAGGCTAGACCCTGCCGAGCCCTGAAGCAGAGCTTAAGTCGGAGGGAGGCGTGAGGTGCTTTTTCCTGGGCAAGGATTTGGTCATTTTCTTCCCTGGAAGGGGAATAAGGCCTAGAGATCAGGCGAGTTTGTGCTGAGCCCATGGCCTCGATCCCACGCAGGCCTGCCTGCGCCCCAGCCTGCTGCCATTGGCGCCACTGGAGAGAAAAGCAGCTGTGGGGGCACCAAGGGGCGTCCTGCTGCAGCCTGGGCTGCTGTAGGGCAGTGGCACTAGTGCCTCATTGAGGCAGTGAGGCTGGGGGGGGGGGGCGCAGGCAGTGGGGCCTGCTGCTGGCTGGGCCTCTGCAGAGGAAAGGGTGTCCCATCTTCAGAGAGCTATCAGCACCAAGATAGGCGAGGAAACGGCATAAAATATGCCAGGGGCTCCTTCTGGGGGAAGACAAGGGGCTCCCTGATGTTATTCCCCCCTTGAGAGCAGGAATGGCGGTATCTGGGATGGGGCTGGGGCAGGGCAAAAGTGGGAGAGGAATAGGCAGGACCGCTGGCTTCTGACTCAAGTCACTGCCAGGAGATCAAGAGGTTAAGCTGAGATGCAGCAGAGTCCAAAAGCCCCGAGAAGCAGGTAGCCCCGCGACACTGGTTCGGGTCCCCAGCCCTGAGCTGCCAGCCAGGGCGGGAGCAGCCTTCCTCTAGAGCAGGCTGCCCCCTGGGCCCCTCAGCCTACTGTGGGTCCATAGAAGCACAGACAGAAAGAGCACCCCACTTTCCAGTCTCTATCAGATCCTCCATCCACGAAGATGTGGTCTGAGTGTCCAGATCTTACACTGAGTCCAGGCCTCTCTCTGGGGAGCAGTCAGACCCCAGACCTAGGTCTGCAGGACTCTCCTAAAGGAGGGTATAAATACTCCATTTATCCAAGGATGTGGGGTGCTGTCAGCTCACACAAGTCAGGGAACCTTACGCCTGAGGGCAGGAGCCAAGCGCCGCAGTGCTTCACGGCAGCCTGCGGCGCCTGCTTCAGTATCTGCTGAGGCAGCTCTTCCAGGAGAGGGTCGGGTGCTCAGACCTCTCCTCCCCAGGCTCCTGTGCACTCAGGGTGCAGCCTGCTGCTGTAGGGCTGCGGCGCCACAGCTCTGAGGGCACCTGAGGCATCTGAGGGTGAGCTGGGGCAGAGGGCAGGCCTGAGGAGAGCGGTCTGGCCGGGGAGCTCAGTGGCAGCAGCCGCCACAGTGCCCGCCCGCGTGGGAGTGCTGGCTGTCCCCAAACTTGGTCCTGCGGCTCAGGATCTCGTAGGAGCAGTCCTCACCGCAGCACCCAGACATGCTGGGGGAAGAGTCATCAATCTCAAATCTGCAAGCAGGCAGGGGGGAAGGCGGTCACTGGGCTACCTCCACGCTTCCACCCAGGAGGGTCTCTCCACCTACCACACGTGCGAGACCCCGGCAGTGAGGGTGCAGGAGCAGCTGGGGCCAAGGCGGGGGAAACCACCCCGCCAGCCCTAATACTCAACACCCACGGACCCTGGCCTGGAAAGGCACCCCCCGCCCCGCCACCACCCAGAGGCTCCCAGGCGGCCAGCTCCTTACTGCAGTGCTTCTCTGAAGAACTGGTAGGCGCCATGATTGTGCTTAAATACTGTCAACATAACTTTCTTCATCTGTGTGCTGAGAAGAAAGCAGAGAGAACACCTTCCAGAAAGAAACAGAGACTCCATCGCTCCTCTCTCATCTGCCTGCGCTGAGAAGCCTCGTCAGCCTGACCAACCTGTCGAGGCCTCCCTGCCTCCAGCGGACCAGACTGAGTGGGCCTCACCCCCACCGACCTCTTCCTTGCCCCCTGCTCCCTGCAGCCCCCACACTCAGGCAGACAAGAACTGTGCAGAGGTGCTTGTCACCCTGAAGGCATGGCTGGAAGCTGGACTCTCAGCGGTGCAGAGAGCCGCCCCTAGAAGGCTCTGCCACAGGGGCTGGAGGGAGCGGCGCCTCAGAGGAGGTGGCGTGGGCAGCCCTTACCTGTTGGCCATGAGCTGCAGTATCTGAATGAGGAACTTCCCCAGGCCTTTCCGCCGCACCTTGCTCTCCAATTGCACCTCGTAGCTGGGTGAGGGAAGCAGAGTGCTAAGCATGGAGGGCAAGTGTGCAGGGGCTGCCAGGCTCGTCAAGGAAGCCCCAGAACCCAGACAGGCCCAGTGGACTCTGGCACCTGCAAGAGCCTAGAGCAGCGCCTGTTTCCTCCCCCTCCCCCACCCCCTCAGGCCCCAGAGGCCGCCCCCAGCCGGGTTCCCTACCAGTACAGGACTTCATCCCCGCATTCCACATCAAACCGGAAGTGAGAAAAGGCAACAGGGATGGAACTGCTTTCCCAAGCAATGAGGTACCAGGCTCGGTCATCGGTCATTTCCTCCCGTTTCTCTCGATCCTTCCAGCCCCACTCGCTTTGCTCATACCTGGGAAATGTGGGCCATCAAGGGAACTCTGGGAGAGGAAAGCAGCCTGGGAAGAGCACGCCTCCCTCCCGCCCGGGGCTTACATAGACTGCATGTTGGTTTTGGTCAGGTCGAAGGCCCAGTCCACAGTGGCCGGCTCCAGCCCGGATACTCGCTTACATTCAATGGAAACATTTAACCTGGAAATTGGAAGAGGATGCTGGGAAGCAGCTGCAGGCCTGGTGCTAATGCCTGCCACAGGCACGCCAGGTCTCGGCCGAGGCAGAGAAGAGCAGCCATGGACCAGCCGCGCCAGCCTTTCCACAAAACTAAGGAACTGTCATCACTGGCCTCCTGCCAGCCTGTTCCCTCGCCCTTACCAGACTTAGCACTTTGTAAATTTCTGTCCCTCTCTGTCACCTCTGCGCGCAGCAGCCTCTCTTTGTACTTTGTGAGAAACAATGAGTCGTCTCTGTGCCCTGAGTTCCTGCTAGAGGCGATTTTTTTCTTGCTTTTTCATGTCTGAAGGACACTCCCTAGGCTCCTTCGGGACCTCCTCCTCTCATCTACCAGTCGCCTTCTGAAGCTAGGGTGACCTGAGGCACTTTTAGAAGACCACAGCCCACACCCAGCCCTGAGGAGTCCTCCTGCCATGACCATAAGGACAAGGTGGCACATCAAACAGGGTGGAATGGGCCCAACCTCAGTCTCTAGCTCCTGATCTAAAGTCTGTTGCAGGCATTAAGGAATCTTCTCTGGTATTTTCTTCTAAGTGGAACTGTAGGTACATTACGGTCAAACGCCTCAGTCTAGCTGCAAATCACGCCCTCTGGGTAGTACTACACCTTCAAAGCACCAATGCAGCAGCCTGGCCTCTCCAAAGTGCTCCAGTGACAGGGGCTTTCCACAGAACCCTAAGGGAGGTTCCCACTGGAACCCCGTCCCGCTAGCAGGCACCGCGGGACTGTACAGGGACTGAACCTTGGGAGCTAGGACCTGCCTGGCTGCAGCCTCCTGACAGAGCGCGCCATGGAGCAGTGAGACGTGTCCCCCACACTGCCCTTTCCAAAGCCCAGAATGCTCTATAAATTCTCCATTAGTCTGAGCTAAGTACTTGAAAGTAGAATCACAGACGCACAAATCATACAAAATTCCAGCACTAAAGGAGCTCAGGCGGCACTGTCTGCAGAGCTGCTCCCTATTCCTCTAAGTTGGAGGGACAGGAAGGTGCGTCGGTGCCCTCACAGCACGGGGTCTCTGAGCTGTGTCACAGGTTGCATGAGTAGGCGTAAGTGAAGCACGTGACCGACCGGAAGGACAGGTCAATGGGTGCTAAGAAAGTCAGCCCCCCAAGAAAGGGGCCAGGTGGCCCTGCGCCCCACCCTCAGTGTGAGCTCCAGTATATTCTCTCTCCTGAAACACCCTGCAGGTGTGGCCCCACTGCTCCATTGAACAGATAAACAGAAGGCTCGAGGAACATAAGTGACTTGTCCAGAACGCCATGAGCCCACCATGACTCAAACCAGAAACCCGTCTTTTCTTAGCCAAAAGTGCTTTGGTAAAACAAGACTCCTGGGCTGGATTTTAATCCCAATCCTCTGATAAATGGGATCAGTAGTAATAATCGTAGTGGTGACAGCTATTGGGGACCTACCTTTCAGCTTGCTCCAGGCTAAAGCCTTTCCATCCAAACTTCCCGATGACCCCAACCCACAAGGCAGGGACTGTTATCAGACCCATTCAGGTTTGAAAATTGAGGGACTAAGAGGTGAATGTGAGCACAAAGCCGGTGAGGCGTCTTTAATAATGAATCACACCCAGGCAGTGCTCTTGCCTGCCTGTGCCCGTGCAAGTGTCTCTCTCTCAATCCTACCACGTCAGGTGCAGCTATTTCTGCCCACTGTGCAAGAGTCTCTTCCTTTCCTTTTCTTACAACAAACCTACCCTTTCAGATATAAAAGGAAAAAAGTATGCCACATACTCAGGGAAAGCACACTAGACTGGAAAGTCAAGCCCCTCAGCTTCTAGGGAAGAAGCCTGTAAGCTCAGAAATCTCATTCAACTTACCTGAGCCTCAGTTTCCCCCAATAAAATGAGGGAGGCCCTCCCTTGTAGCGCAACAAGTAAAATCGCAGCACTATGAAGCTATCGCAGCCACTGCTGCACGAGTTCGATCCCTAGCCAAGGAGCTGACCCCCAGGGCGCAGCAGACCTCGCCTGTCTCCCCGCTGCTCCCCTCAGCTGCGTGTTTCAGTACGTCCATCTGTTCTGCTCCCTACTCTGTCTCTGGTGAATCCCTCAGCCCCCACCCCACACCTCTGGCCTGTACCCCAGTTCTGTATGTATTATTAAATAAATAAACCTTTACAAAATAAGATGAGGGAGTCTGTCTCAGCTCTGATGCTGGGTCGGCCTTAGGGAGATCCTGCCTCTGCCCAGGCACAGAGGCCTGTAGCACCCTGAGCCGGGGTCTTGAAGACACCAGGCACGGTCTCTGCTTTTTTATAACAAAGGAGAACAAGAAAACCTGGGTCTGAGGAGGCTTCTGGAAAAGTGAACTCCTGAAGGCAGGATGATAGACGGCAGTCAGGTAGGCTAAGCACTCACCCATTTCGATCATATTTCTTAAACGCTGGGAAAGCCTCTAGGGGGTCTCCAAGCTGTGGGGGGAAAAGAGAGAGGAGTGGCGCAAACACACGGGGGGCGGGCTCTTCCCACAGAGGGACACTGGTCCACGCAGCGTCGGCGACGAGGCCCAAGAGCGTCATCTAAGGACAACTTCCTGGTCACCTGACCCAGAGGAGCGGCCAGGGGAGGCCCCTGGAGCCACCTGTGTGCTTCTAACAAACCCCTGCCATGCTCACAGGCCAAAATGGAGATTCATGTCCCCGGCTCACCTCCTTACAAATGTACACTGTTCGCTGAGTGGGATCAAAGAACAAAACACAGGTGTGGAATGGAGGCAGGAGGATGACCAGAATCTTCTGGCCCGCCTGCTTCCAGTCGCATCCAGTGCTCAGGATCACGCTTCTCCTACCCTGACTGCACAGTCCCCTGTCCCCAGCACATAACAGTGAATAATTGTTTAAATGTGTATGGAAAAAATTACACCACATTTTAACATGGACGTTTCCTCCCTTAAATGCAAAATCCTAACAAAAACTTCTCGAGATGCTCTTCTACTGAGAAGGAGAGCCACAGAAGCAGCTGCCAAGGGCACAGCACCCTGCTGGCCCCCACCAAGGTTCCCTTCCTGCGGGGCAGTGCCCGGGCAGTGGGCAGTAACACAGTTCCGCCACAGGGTGGCGCCAAAGGAAGGCAAACCGAAAACCAAGCCTCAACCAGGGAGGAAGGCTGAGACTCAGGGGGGAAGAGTCACCCTGTTGGCGGCTTCCACTTTGGCACAGACGGCATCCATGGCTGCTCGCTCCTCCAACCGCTTCTGCTTCTTCTCCTTTGCTTTGCTCGACTTCCTCTGCAACAGGGAAAAGCAAAGTTGGCTGCGACTAAAGGTTTGACTTTTCCCTGGAAGAACAAGAGGATCTGTCCCTGCAGTCACAGTGGCCCCTCAGCAGGGGAGCTGCCACGCTGGCTGAGGCATACTGGTGGGGCAGGGAGTCCCCAGTACTTCAGGGAGGGGAGACCTGGGGAGCTTCACTAGGTCTCTCAGCTTCCTAGTCCTGAGAAACTTGGGGCACTGCCAAGGCCCGTGAGAGGTTAATCTTCATTCAAACACATTCAGACAGGCTTCAGGGAAGAGGCATTTGGGGTGGCACAGTCAGCTGTTGCCAACTATGGGCTGACTCAAGGCTGCTTTCAGCTTCTCCAAGAAACAAAGACCTGGCCTGGGGGCAGCCCCTCTCGGCTCTGCACCCCTTCGTAGGACAAGGCCACCATACTGTGACTTAAGCAGACCACAGCTCCCGCAGAGGCACTGCTGGGCCAAGGCCAACAGGTGCAGGCACGTGCACGCATGGCAGCGGCAAGGCCCTGGGGGTTCCCCTGAGGATCGAGGGCACACAGGCGGCAGGGGAGAAGCAAAGGGAGCTGCACAGAGGACAAGTACACAACGCCTGGACCCGCATCCGTCGAGACGGAGCCAGTCCTGAAGTAACGTGGGTTCATCCGGACCAAGTGGACTCGCAACACTGGCAACAGAAGGAGCTCAGCCCCCGGAGTCTGGGAGATCTGTACAAACCCTCTGTCTGCGCTTCATAACCTGGTCTTTGGACAAGACAGAGCCCCATCCTCGAGTCGGGTTCCCGATGTCTGTGGTGCGGCTCTCTGCCTTGAGGTTAACACGGCACGTGTGTCCTAAACGGCAGCTCTCGCCCCTAGTCCCATGTGCAACCAAGCAGCACACACCTGGAGCGCCTGCCTCCTCGGGGCCGGAAGCGCGCGCAAGGGTGCCGGCTCAGTCTCCCTGCCCAGTGTTCTGCCAGGAGGGAGCTCTTCTTTTCCTTGGCCCAGGGAAAGGGCGCTGAAAAGCAGCCGTTGGGAGAGTGGTTCAGAATAACCTCCCCCCACCCCCAGCCTCCCTGTGGCTTAGGGGTTAAATTCTCAGTACTGCCTAAGTTCCATTCCAGCAGGGAGCTGACCTCTGCTATCTCCCGCTGCTGGCCTCAGCAATACATTTCAGTAGATCCGCCTGTCTGCTCCCCACTCTGTGGCTGATGAATCCTCTCACCACCACCACTCCCCGCACCTCTGAGCACCCCAGCTCTTCTATGTGCAAATAAATAAATCTTTTTTAAAAGATCACCTCCTCAGTTTCTCAAACTGCTAAAAATGGAGCTTCCACATGACCCAGCAATCCCACTCCTAGGTATCTACCCAAAAGACCAAACCACTGATTCGAAAAGACACCCGCACCCCCATGTTGATTGCTGCTTTATTTACAATTGGAAAGACATGGAATCAACCCAAATGCCCGCAAGTGGATGGCTGAATTAAAAAGTGGATTAAAGTAATCAAAAAGATAAATGCATGCCTTTTGCAACAACATGGATGAAGCTGGAAGGGATCATGCTTAGTGAAATAAGCCAGAAAGAAAAGAAAAATGGTTTCCCTCATAGCAGGAATATAAAGGACCAGGCAAGAAAATAATAATAATAATAATGAAGAACTAGATACAGAGACCTTTTACGGGAGTGGAGGGGGGAATGGGATCAAAAAGGGGGGGAGGGAGGAAGTGCACTGAACTGTGGTGATGGCACACGGGTGATCTGGTGATGGGAAGCCCACGGGGATGATAACTGAGATAGAAAAAGGCACAAAATGATGTAAAAATAAACTACTATTTAAAAAAAAAATCACCACCTCAGAACAACCCTGCTTCACTTCCAGTAGCCAGGAGGCAGGAGCTGAGAGCGGGCCTGCATCCACGAGCAGCTGCCTGCCTCCCAGAGCAGGGCCCAGAGTAGTTCAACTTCACACAGCCAGGATGCCGGGACAGACTGCCCTTTTTACTACTTGCAAGTTTCAGAGTCCCCATTTTTCTCTCTCGGGAATTTGGATTTCGAGAAAACCAACTAGTAAAGTGCTCTCAAGTACATTATCCAGCTCAATTCTCAGGGCAGAAACCATCACCTCCCTTTATACCCGAGGAAACGGGTTCAAAAGGTTGCTGTGTTCTACTCAGAGCTTCCAGGGAGTGGCCAGCAGAGGGGACAGTTCTAGGGGCTGGGATCCCCTAGTCACACACTGATGCCACCCTGAGGATCTGCATCAGTGTCCAAGACCACCTCACGCCGGGCCACCTCATCAACATCATTTCTCATTAGCCTCTGGCTGGGTAGGCTGAGGTGATGGGCCAAACCAGAGCCTACTTCCTTCCCAAACTGGGGTAGGACCAGGAACACCTGAGAAAGAAGCCCGCTGGGGCTGCTCATGGGGCGGAAAGAGGCCAAGTCACTGCTCCTCCTGTCACCCCTCCATGACTCATGGAAGCGACTCCATCCCCAAGAAAATGGGGGCACGAAGGCGGGTCTCACAGAGTAGCTGAAGGAAGGTCAGAAGCCAGCTGGCTCCCCTCCTCCCTGCATGCAGAGCTCTCTTATGCCACACAGAGCGAAGGGTCAAAAGTGCTGTAAGGAAAATGTGACTAGGAGTCCGGAGCACTGAAGCCTGGGTCCTTCCATCACATCTTCTCCGCAGGGGAAGTAAGTCATTGCTAAGCAACGCAGCAGGGGGCAACCTGGGCCCATTCGCACAGGGCAGGCAGGCAAGCCAGGCGACCCTCAGAGTGAGGGGTGGGAGGTCTCTGCTGGACTGCAGGTAGAGGAAGAGCCCCTGAAGCACCTCACGGCCAGAACATGGGGGGGAGGGGGTTGCAGCAGGTCGCTCTCCCTCAAACCTAGAGCACATCAGAAGTGGACTCCCACTGCTCCAATTAGCCTGGCCCTGCCTCGTGGAGGTAGGACTGTCCTGCAGGGACCCAGAAAGATTGCTCGTTAAAATGGGAAATTAGCGGAGTGAAGGGTAAAGCTCACGTAGCTCAATGTCTCTCCCAAGGGCGCCTCATACGATAAAGAGTGTGCGGGATTGTGAGTGAGAGACCTGGATTTGAGTCTGAGCCCCTGCACTCCAGAGCTGTGTGACTTTGGGCAAGTTATTTAATCTCTTTTCTGCAACTCATTTTCTCTGAACCTCAATTCCCTCATCCCAAAAATGGAGCTACCCGTGCCTGGACACTGAGGACAGGACAGAGTACCGGCGCCAGATATGGACCTTCTCGACATCCCACAGCTTCCTCGGGTATAAACCTAAACCCAGAGGTGCTCAGCAAGCAGAGCAGAATGGGGGTCGGCGCCACAAAGTGATCTACCTCGCAAGTGACTCAGAAACTCGAAATCCAGGGCCACATGGCCTGAGTTCGACCCCCAGCCAGGGAGGTGACCCACATGGCACAGCAGACCTCTCTTGGCTCCCCGCTGCTCCCCTCAGCAGTGTATTTCACTCGCTCTGCCTATTCTGCTCCCCACTCTGTTTCTGGTGAATCTAATCACAACCAACCTCTGGCCTATAGTCCAGATTTTACACACAAACAATATATAATAAACTTTAAAAACAAAAAAAAACCTGAATTCAACCTCTCCTTCCTATCACTTTGGTCTCCATTTTTCCAAGGACAGAAAACATATCCTCATAGTTGTCTTGTCTACAAAATCAAAACCCAGCATCCACGATCATTCTGAAAGTAATTCTGTGTAGACACTCTCATCCACTTCTCACCCCAGGGCCTGTGTGGAGCCACCTAACAACTTGATTGCTAACCAACTGCTTGACCTTTAGGGGGAAGGGACAGCTAAGCTAGGAGAACAGACTGAGGAGAAAAGGTGAGTGCTTCATGGGTGGTCTGACTCCGATCAGAAGTCAAATAGTGCTGGCAAGGAATGGCTTGGCCCAGGAAAGGTCCATGGGCTGTGCAAGTTGCTAAAGAGATGACTATCCAGAAAGCAGAGTGGACAGCAGTTGGGGGGCCAAGGGGCAGGAACGTGAAGTGGAATGGGGCCTAGTTATGTTGTTACTCTTGGGCTGTGCATTTTGCTAATGTAAAATGGAATAGGCCCTCCCTATGGCACCTGGTGGTGCAACAGGTTAAAGTGCAGCACTACAAAGCTAGCCACAGCTGCTTCAGCACAAGTTCAATCACTGGCCCAGGAGGGACCCACATGGCACAGCAAACCGCTCTTGTCTCCCCATTGCTCCCCTCAGCAGTCTATTTCAGTAGATCTACCTGTTCTGCTCCCCACTCTGTCTCTGGTGAATCCTCTAACCTCCTGCACCTCTGGCCTATACCCTAGTTCTGTATGCATAAATAAATAAATCTTAAAAAAAAAAAAAAAAAAAAGAGGCCCTCCCTGGTGGCGCAGCGGGTTAAAACACAGCACTGAGAAGCTACAGCCACTTCCGCATGAGTTCGATTCCCGCCTGCCCCGGAGGAGACCATGTGGCGCGGCAGACCTCTCCTGACCCGCCTGCTGCTCCCCTCAGCAGTGTACTTCGTCGATCTGCCTATTCTGCTCCCCACTCTGTCTCTGGTGAAGCTTCTCACCGCCCCTGAGCCTCTGGCCTATACCCCAGTTCTGTATGCGCAAATAAATCTTTAAAAAGAAAAAAAAGTTCTTGACCCTAGTCACTTCTATTTCCAAAGAAACCCGGCTAGCGCTTAAATGAAGATGATCTAGTCTGATCTTTACTTTAACTCAACAAGGTATGTGCACCCACTTCTTCTGATGAGAAAACTAAGACAAGGTAATTTTCAGCTCACAAGGCCAGGGAATGGTCTTCTCAAAGAGGTTTTCCCCTTCATGCCCACCAGACTTTCAGATGTTCATGAGCCAGAAGCCACATCTGCTTCACTTGCCAATATGCACCCTGTGCTCAGCAAAGAGCATGCCAGTTCTGTTCAATGAATCATCCCAGATTCAAGTCCAAGGGGGACCCTGGGGTCCGCCTTCCACTACATCAACATTTACACAGCCCTGTTGCTATAGAGCACAAAGAAATGTGGTTTTCACATGCAGCTGGGAGACCCTCCCATCACCTTCCCATGGCCAGCACCTATGCACACACACTTCCATGGCTGCTCGAGGCCACTTGACCAGATAAGACAGGAGGGGTCTTCATAACAGAGATCCGACAGCTCTTAGATTTTCAGTATCAGAGTTTCCATCCCACAAAATATCCAACTTCTGGAAACAATCTGTTTTTGGTGAAGGGAGATGGAAAACCTAAATTCTAATGCCTAAAAGACAACACAAGCATGGCAGCAAGAAATTCTGAAAAAAGTGGTGCTCCGCCTGATGTCCTCCCTCCCTGAGGTCAGGCTGTCAGCGGAACAGGTCCCTCTGCTGCAGGGTGATCATGAGGGCTTGGGACCTTTCTGACAGAGCAGGGGCCCCCACAGTCCCACCTGTGAAGAGACAGGACAAGTGGGTTCCAGTTCTGCTTTAGGGAGGAGAGTTCACACTTCTTTTTTGCAGTGGATTTTAGACTAGAAGAGAAGAAGGTGCCACCCTGAGAAACACAGCAACCACTTAAGGCCCCAAAGAAGTAAGGGCGGCAGGGTCTGAGGCCTGCTCCTCCAGCTCACCAAAGAGACGTGTACAACCAGAATGGCAAGCTCGGCCTCTTGGTTTCTGCTTTGCTGGGTGGACACTTACCAGTGGGATCCAGGACACAGGTTTCACTTCCTTTCAGCAAGAGCTAGGGTCTAAAACCTTCACCAAATATGCCAATAGTCTCTTTCTTGATGTGTAACTTTATAGTACCCAAACTTTCCTTTGTTTTCTAGCTATAAAGTGTTTATTCTCTGCCTGAAATAAGGTTGTTTTGTTTACTAAATTATTTTCTCAAGTGAACCAAAAGTTCTTATTGAAACATGATGAAATATATTTTGACACAGACCACATAAAATGTTCTGACAC